CACACACACACACACACACACACACACACACACACACACACTTAACAGTAGGTGAACAGCCCCTCTGCTGACTGTGGCCATTTATTTCAGTTACCCATCACTGGTCTTAACACAAACAAACACACACGCGCTCATGTACAATAGGACTAACTCGAGATGATCTATAGCTTTATTTTCTGTATGTGAGTGACAAAATGTTTGTGGAGAAGGGACAGATAATTCAAATAAAAAGGTCCTTCTAAGCTTTCTGAAGTTGTAGCCTCCAGCTGTTTTAATATGTGGGAGAGGAATCAATTTATTTTTTCCAAACAGGATTCAGTTTTTCTATGTATCTAAATGCAGGCATGAAGAATAATATTTTTTTGGGATAAAGATTGTTATATTTGTCAGTATCCTTGCTGTTGTTTAATATCAAATTTAAATGTTATATTATAAATATATTTAAATAAAATCATGAAGCTGAATCAACACATCACTGATACATAGTCAATAAAAAGGCAGCAAAATACTGCTTACTAAATGAGTGTAACGAGTCTGTACCCTCTGGAATCAGCAGGTACAATTGTTTAAAAGAAAACTGTAATAGTGGCCAAAAGGCACTTTGACAAAACTAAACTGGTGACCTCTTCAATACTTATTTCAGCTGCTGTACACACCTATAGAGTTGATAGAGCCACAGCACCAACAACCTGTGGAAGGACAGTTTTGCACCAGTAACCATACCTTTCTTTCTGTCCATGCAAATACCTCTTTCAGCCAGTAACAAATACAAGTAAACAATACAAGTTTTAGATTTGTGTTCTTAATATATTTTATCTTCATATTTCATTCTTTACCTCCATACAACCTTTGAAATGCTTTTTGCCATGATTGAACCACAAAAAGACCGTCCTTGCTTCCAATATCCTTGAATTATCCTCTTGTTCAGAATCACAAACAGAACAAATGAAGTGAAAGAATTGAGGAGAGAAATTGCATTGAGCTCTAAACAGAGCTGATACATGATGAAGTTGCCTTTGCAACAATGTGAAGTTTTGAATTGGTAATATTAATACCAGTACTAAAAATAATAACAGGCGTCTAGCTGAGTTTTGTACTGATTAGGTCCTATTGTTAAAGCTTAAATTTTTCACTTTGAAATCTTTTTTTTCTTATTCTCTTTTTTTGTCTTGCATGTGGAGCATAAACATTGGAATTAAAAACTTCATAACTTTTCTTTTTATATTTGAATGCATGTGTACACACATATGTGCATTTGCGTCAAATCTTTTGCCACCTGTTGTTACAGCCCAGAGGCCAGACCAGGTGAGAGCACTCAAATGCAAACACAGACAGAGGCACAGATTAAAGTGGAGACAGTGCTTTATTTACAAAGTGAAACAAAACCTTTGGATGGTGACTACGAACTGTGAAATGAGACAACCTGAAAAGTCAAAATGTGAAGCTTAATCTGTGAGCTAAAGTTTATACTGAAGTCCATGAAACAGGGCCAAGGGGAGGAGGGACTGTGGCTCGGGTGAAAGTGTGCAGAGTCACTGCAATGAAAGGAAACAGAGTCTGGGTTCCAGTGATTAACAGTAAGTACGGTTTGAAGTGTTTCTAATGGCTTACTCTTTGCAGGCATGGAATGACATGGAAGGAGGGCAGTCCAAGGGATCCGGGAGAGTTCCAATCCGGGGTGAGTCCATAACGTACTGTACCAAATGAGTTCCAGAAGCTAAAACAGGGAGGCAGGCAGGCGGTGTGCAGAGAGGAAGCGAGTGTAACCAGACTGCGTGACTGCAGGAAGACTGGCATCCTAATGAAGGTAAGTATTGTTGTAAGTATTGTAGGGGAAGTGTGATGAACAGCTGGATTACTAGAACAGAAAGACAGACGGTAAGAATACTACTTTCAATGAAATCACAAGAGAGCCAAACCCTAACACAGGTTCACTGTAGATGTGGCAAAGACTTGTTGAGTGTGCTGGTCTTAAATACCACTAGCTTGATTGCAGACAGGTGAGACTGCTGAATGGAGACTCCTCCCAGAGGTGGAGCCCCAGGTCTATGGACCATGACACCTGTACCAAACCACATGAATTTATATCCCTAAGTCAAAGTCATGATGGAGACACATACATTTAGAAATGGCCAGTCATTACAATTCTGTATCTTCAGTTATGTAATTTGTAATGATATCTAAAAACTTTATAATAACTACTGCACTTTGTTCTTTTGCTTTTTTAAATGTGTGCATATTATGTAACTGGAAGAAAGTGTGGTATTCAATAAATGTTATAAAGATGTTAAAATTAAATTAGCAGATGCAAGGACTAGCTATCACTGCTAGCAATATCCTGTGTCAATAGACTTGCCAATCAGAAGTGTTAAATAATCTTTTCTTTTGTTTTTTTGACCGCTTTTTTGTGTCAGTTACACAATATCCAGGAAGCCTGAAAACACACATGAGATGTCCTTCTGGTAGTTTCACCTGTCAAAACCCTTGATGCATGGATGCTTATGTTAATTGTGTTCCCCCTGGCAAGGAAAATCAAGGGCAAGAAAAGCACCTGAACCATTTACCTTTCATAACACATTGGGTGGCAAAGAAAAAAAACAAGGGAGTCCATTGTTTCGCCTATGGACCATCAATCTGTGTGCGGCACACCACAGTGAGCATGAGTCAAAGAAGGTGTGTGTGAGGATGAACGTGTAGTGAGACAAGCTGATTGATTAGATCTATCAAGTGGAAATCATCAGCAGCTCCATTGAAAAGCAACTCCCTCTCCTTCTTACCTCGCCTCTCATCTCATCCATTGCAGCTCTAATCCTGTATTTATGTCTCCTCCCTGTAACTTCTTGTCATTCTCTTCTTCTGTTCCCCATCAGTACTTCAACAGACTTTCCCTCCACTTTTGCAGAGCTGTCTCGTAATCTTTCTCTTGACCCATTTTTGACTGCATCCTCATCTTTTTCCTTTTTTCATTCTTCACCTCCCTTTCTGCTATTGTCTTTATTAAAGGATTTATGTCTGCAGCAGAGGACGTTCACTTTGTTCATCTGTCGCCTGTCACTTTTTTCCTCTCATTTTCATATAGCGTGTCTCTTTTTTTCTCTGCCCATAACTTTCAGCCATTTCGGCTCTTGTGCTGTCATGCTGAAATTTTCCCACTTTTCAACTCATCCATCTAGTTATCAGTCCATGCTTTCCTTGTACACTTTTCCTCTCCTCACTTGTTCACATCTCTTTTTACTGCCCATGGTGACTCTTGCATGTACTCTCAAATTCACTTTTCTTTCACTTTTCCAGCCATCCCTTTATTTACTGGGACTTCCTAACTTTTTGCTTATCCCTTCTCTCTTTGCCAATTAAGCACAACATTTAATTGCTTTACGTTTCTTTATTTATTCAGTTTCAAGGATATGGAAAATAGATCATTTAAATGTATTTTACATTGATAAAGTAAATGCATAAAAACATGCAAACATAAATATAGTTATTCTGTATTTCTTTTTCAAGTGTTGATTTTAATGGGTTTAAATACTGTAGTATTATCTCTAAAATAGACATAAGATTGTTGTGCTCCATTTCCATTCCCTATTTAGAACAAGCTTACAGGGTCATTGTGAGTCTTTTCATTCTTTAGTGTAGATTGTAACTTGAGCTGAAGCTAAATTAGGTTCCTAAAAGAAGCTAGTAGCTAGTGTTGGTATGAGACTCAGAGGAAACATGATTGTCTGTCGTCAATATAAATGACTGTGTGCAAACATAGACAATATAAAAGATGAACCTTGCTGAGCTACCATGACTTCTGCCATTGGGTTCTCAAGTCCCATTTTGAAGTCGGAAGATGAGCCTTACAGTCATTACCATATTGGTTACAAAAACAACGTATCTAATAAGAAAGGGCACTGACTGTAAAAGCACATACAGATGGGTACATCCATGCAGTTTCACACCACAGATAACTGCCCATTTTGAAATATGGTATGACGAATACTGACAAAACTTACTTGATTTTATTCGTATAGTCCAAATTGAGTCACTGGTGCTATAAGATCAACAGGAAAGAGTCTTTTTGCAACCACAACTTCTGCAATCTGCTGGCGATAACTTCACATAGAAGCTATTACCGGTAGGTATCTCCGCACTGGCTTCATTTTCCCTTTTTTGGAAGCCATGTCCATGTTTTATACTTTCTATGCACGCAACAGTTACAGTCATTGTCGGGTTGAACAGTATTGAAATGACTTTTTGCACACTAATACCAGATGGAAAGAGGGCTATTGGAATTATTTGGAATATAGGAATGAACTGAAGTCATTTTGATGTGTGAACAGCAGGCTTATCTACCGAGCAGCTGTTCTACCTTATTTACCTCAAGCACCACTTCACTTATTTCTTACTGGTCTACACCTGAGCATCAGCAAGAGAAACTCTGGATTTTATTAATATTGTCACATCACCATGAGGAAGAAGGTTAGGCTTTCCTTTGCTCTGCTTGGGCAATTTCTTGAACGAACACACACACACACACACACACACACACGCCAATTTTTGATATAGTTTAAAAGCTTTGCTTTCTCCTTTTGGCAATAAAAGTTCAAAAGTAGGAATACTTTGATATTTTGCAGCTGAGACAATCTTTCTTTCTTCTCAATCTTCAGTGATAATATCTGGTCTGTTGTGGTTAATTCATGAAAGACAATTAGAAACATCATCCCGCTACCATCTCAATAATTCACCACAAAGAACAGCAGAATGGTTGTGTGCCCCGACTTCCTGCATTTAGGACGCTATTTTCAAGTTTTGTTAATGGGTAAAATAGAGCTGAAGATCAGATAAATGTGCTATGAACATAATGTTATGTCAACAAAAGTGTCACAGGTGGGCAGGAAGGACTCAAATTAAGGACTCACAGATGCACAATAATGAACTAAAAACAACCCTTATATAGGATATTGAAGTCTATGAGTATAATGGAAAATCCATAGTCTTCAAAGCAGGAAAGAGGAAACAGACTGAGGACTGAAGCAGTTACTGAAGTGTCACAAGAAGGAATTAGGGAGAGTGGAAACACCTGGGGTAAAAAGACACAGCTGAAACTAATCAAGAAAATGACAACAGAAGTAAAATTCAGCACAAGAAACCAAAAGTATAGCTACCAAAGCTACTGGAATAAAACGGGATGTACGGCATAACTAAATAGGATTAAGAAAAACAACCAACCCCTCAAAAAAAAAAAACCAAACAAAAACACAACTTAACACTTGGAACACTGAAAGACAAAATAGGGACTGAAAGTTAAAAGGGAAGTAAGTGGAAACAAACTCCACAAAACGATCTGGAACTAAAACTAATAACTAAAGATGTGCAAAGGAATACCATAGAGATTAGCTTAAAGCAACAAAAAAGAACTTATAAAGAACCTAAACATAAATCATACTCAAACCAAAATAACTATCAATCCACAAAAAACTCAAAACCCTGGGACCAAGACCCAAGGGCCATGACAGAGACAGGCTGTGAACTGAGGGAGAAGGAACTAAGCTGAATAAACAGCATTCATATGAAAAAGAAAATTATAATAATGGTTATGTAAAGATATTACATTTGAAATTTAAATGTGTATACTGTATATTTAGATCCTGAGCTCAAGCATTGTAAAACTCAAGTTTTCTTGAAACTTAAAATTGCTGTAAATTACTTTAAAATCAAGTCACATTCACATTAATCAAACATGTGGGAAGATTGGATTGTCTGTCATGACGATTTCTACATCCTAGTATTGAGGATTGGTCGAAAAAAATGAAAGTAGAAAACAAAATAAATGGTAAGTGCACTGGTACTCATATAGTGTCTTTCTACTCAACTGGGCAATCAAAGCACTTTCTACTGCAAGTCTCATTCACACAATCATACAGCACTTTTATCTGTATCAAAGTGTTTTCTAACAATTGCATACACGCACACACACACACACACACTCCAATGGATGCATTGGGGGGTGGTCACATTTCCTCATCTTGTCCGAGGATACTTCAGCATGCTTGGAGGATGATTCAGCCACTGAATCTCTGGAAAATGTCTGCTAAATTCAATTTAATTTTATTTATATAGCACTAAATCATGACAGCTGCCTCAAGCGCATACTATGCCACACACTATTTGCCCTTCAATTTCTCATATTTGACAAAAGTCAAAGACATCTGAACATATATCATACGTGCTAATATGAATTATAAATAGTGGGCACTGAATGACAGAGCCTCCATACATATTACTGTATGTGCAAAAAGGTGTAAGGTCCTCTTTCAGACCACTTTTAGCAAAAAATTATTTTCACAATTATAGACAAAATGACATTGAAATTAGTTTTACCTTTTCATGCATGATACATTTCTTCTCTTGTATTTCCCTCTTCTGTTCTTGGTCTTGAGTTTGCCTTTATCCAGTTATCTTTCTTCCTCTTTTTATATAATCATTCTTTTATCAGTCAGGTCATTACCTCATTTCTCCTCTGTTGCTTAATATTCCTGTTTGTTTGTTTTTTCCCAGCTGTTTCTGATTAGTTCTTGCTAATTTAAATGGAAAACTTTATTTTGATTTTTTTTCCAGCTACACCACACAGTATTTTATGCTTTTGTGATCAGATTGTTGAAGTATCTTTAATTTATAGCATGCCAGTTTGCCTCTTTTTTTTTTTGCACTTGGATCCATTTTATTGCAGCTGTGGTGCTGACCTTGACTCTTGTTGGCACTTAAATTTGGCTCCACATTTCACGTACTGTTACACTGTAATCCCTAACAGTTGTTCTAGCTCATAACTAATAAGCTCATAACACTCAAATGTCGTTTTGTAGTTGAGCAAACTATAAAGTATTGAGCTCTGTTGGCTTTTATGCAACTTTAATTGAATAGGGCTCAATATTTTTTAGCTAATTTGTTTGGAACGCTCAAAAAGTTTAAGAAGCATATATTAGTGACGTTCTGGTGGGTGGAGTCTTGTCGCTCCCTCTGGAAAGCTGAGTCAGCCATCTTGAATTTACCTTGATACCGGGAAGA